ATAACATAACAAATAATTCTAAAAGAAATAATATGATTTCAGAACAAAAGATACACTAAAGGGCAGAAAACAGGATGAAATTGGAAAAACTTGTCTATAAAATGAGTTCTAGAACAGCCAGGACGGTTACACAGAGAAACCGTCTTGAAAAAACAACAACAACAAAGTAAAACATAAAAAAGCAGTGGTTCTCAACCTTGGCAATGCTTTGGCCCTTTAATACAGCTCCTTCCATGGTGAACTCCAGGCACAAAAGTATTTCATTGCCATTTCACATCTGGAATCATAAGATAAATATCTGATATGCAAGATATCTGATGTACAAAACCTGTGGGGGGGGGGGTCAAGACTCACAGGTTGAGATTCAATGACTTAAAGCAAGGAGAAATAAATAAAACAGAATATTTCATTAATTCAATGTCTGCATGTCTAATAAATACAAAATATCATGATTACTGAGAAAACACAAGAGAAGATTTGTCCTGCAGTGAGAAAGTTCTGGCATCTTGATTTCCACAGTGAGAGCAGTAATTTAGTCTCAGAGACAAAGAAGAGCGTGAGATATGTCCAAAATGTTAACAAGGTCGTCCCCCCCAAAATGAACAAGCAGCCTCCCCCAACAGGAAGAAAAGAACTTAATGAAAGGCCTAGGACACATCTCCCTATGACTCGCATCCCTGGGCTGGGCGGGAAGCAGCGGCAGGTAAGGACGACAGCTGCCGGAAGCCAGTTAGCTACTTTTCATAATTCCACTCAGTGATTCTCCACTCCTATCCACAGCGTGGAGTGAAAATATCTAACCTAGCCTACAGATTCTAACTTAAACAGGGTATGGAAGGAAGTCAGACATTAGTTTTTTTTGATTGTTTGTTTTATTTTGTTTTTAAAGAGGGCCCTTAGGTGCTTCTGAAGCACAGACAAGCCCGACTCTGACTGATCTCCCTCAGGTTCTACATCTTCTACCAAACTGTCTTCTACAACTCAGCAGGTCTCCTTTATAAATATGCAACCTCTTATTATTCAGAACAGTGACTCTCAGTCTAACTGCCCATTTGAATCACTCAGGGGCAGCTTCAAAATCTTGATATCAAACCAAACTCCAGAAAGAGTAAATCAGACACTCTGGGATGAGAATTTCCCGTGATTCTAATGTGCAGACAAGGTGAGGTGCACTGCAGACAGTAATTCTTCCAGTAGAGCCTTCAAAGCCAGGTGTGGTGGCACATGCCAGTAATCCCAGCACTCAGAAGGCTGAGGCAGAAGGATTGCCTTGAGTTCGAGGCCAGCCTAGGCTATATAGAAAAACTCTTAAGACAAAATAAAACAAGAATAGCCTTCTTCTCTGTATAAATCTTAGTCATGAACACACACACACACCGGTCTACCTGCAATCATTGGATTCTACACACAACTTTCACTGTTTTCTTTCTTCCTTAACTCCTTAAAATTAAACCCTTACTTGTATTTTAGCCCCAGTGTTCACCATTATGCATGAATACGCTGATTTCATTTGCGCGTGTATGCCTACTTAAGTAAGTTGTATGAGGTATCCCTATTTACATATTATATTGAGCAAACATTCAGTGTTTTTTTAATTTATGAATAATTCCAAATCAAGGAAGAAGCCAGGGACAAAAGATAATGTCTTTCCAGAGTCATAGGGTAGCATCTCACAGAGAAAAAAATGTTTTTCACCCAAGTGACTTTTAAAATAAATCTGCTTTGTATGTTTCTCTACACTGGTATAATGACATTAACATGTCTTAGGGAAGTAAGTTGGATACTTACCACCTTAGAATGAAAACAAATCATGAAAAGCTTTCAAATACTTCGAATAAAATGTAGTTTAGCTTCAAGTATATCGACAATATGCTTGGCAATATCTAATATACTTTTCTAGTATTGAATGGTGGCCAGCAAAAACTCGTATCTCCATCAAGAAATGGCTGCTTAGCATTTTATAACTACAAACCCACTACATGTATTTATTATTACCCAAGAGTAAGTTTATTAAATATGAACTGAAGAATAACTAAGTGCATCAAAAACTGCATCTATATTCACATGGGCCATAAATATCACCAATGATTACTCTGTTACCAAGTGTTTAAAATAAAATCTTTACTAGCAAAAATTCCTTGCTTGTGGTTGAGGGTGTCGCTCAGAGAGACACGGAGAGGGGGAATATGAATCCTTCATCACAATGCTTATAATCACACCTTGGAGGCAGAAGCAGGAGGATTTTGAGTCCTAGGCCAGTCACCGAGTGCTACAGAGTAGACCCAGTATTAAACAAACAAGCAAAAAAGAAAGAAAACAATTTGATTACTAAATTAATTGTGTATTCACTGAGCACCTATTATCTGCTTGGGAATATATGAAAATTAAAGTACTTGAAGTTACTTGAAGACAACAAATGCAGCAATCACAGTATTTGGCATTTGTAGCTGAATTCCTTTTTTACCTTATTTGGTGACTTCAAAGGTGAGATGGCTATCTTATTTGGTGTCTGTGTTGTAGAATTTAAAGTTGATCCAATAACGCCACTTTCCGATATAGTTATGGTCTTTGATGGAGTTCCAGGAGTAGACTGTGAAAGAACCCTACCTGCAAATGAGAGGCAGCACACGGGTTGACGGTTGTTAGTAACAGTTTAAAGCCTTACACAACGATGACTTTAGTGCCACAAATATCAATACATGACTTTAGAGACTGAGTTAGACCCTGAGGAATATAGTGAACCTAAGAATTACCAAGAATATGCTCTGAAACATAGCTATTTCCATCAGAGAGTAAGCTTGAGACAATTCAGGACTTTTGCTCCGAGCCTGCTTCAGCCTCTGTACTTCCCTGCTCCACGGCTGTCTTCCTAGCTGTACTTTCCATGCACTACAGCTGACTTCCTATTTGAACTTAAATCATTCAGGGCAAAATTGAAATCCACAGTTCTATTGGGACACAGCTTTGTTGGTGGAGGGCTTGGTTAGCATGCAGGAAGCCAAGGATCTCTCCCTAGAACCTCAAGATGGGACACTACTCGGAAGGAAGAGACCTGAAGATTCAAGGTCATTCTCAGCTACACAGCAACAGGCTAACCAGGAATAACATCAGATTTTGACTCAAAAAACAAAACTTATACAGTCACTTATAAAAACAGCTACTGGGGTCCAGAGAGATGGCTCAGTGATTAAGAGTATTGCTACTCTTCCAGAGAGACAAAGCCAGAGCACAACACCCACATCAGGTGGCTCACAACTCCTGTAACTTCAGCTCTAGGGGATCTGATGCCCTTTCTTGGCCTCTGAGGGTACCCACACAAATATGACAACACACACACACACACACACACGCACACACGCACACGCACACACACACAAAATAAAAGCTATAATTGAATGGACAAACCCGAACACTAATTTTAGAGGCACAGAAAGGGAAAGAAAATTTCATCTAGCTGCTCTGGCCAGATTCCACACTTTGCTCTATCTTGCACAATAACTCCTCTGAAATAACCCTGGGGAAATGCAGGGGGTTTGGATGACTTAGGGAACTGGAAGCATATTTCAATAGGTGAAATATCAGAAAGTTTTATCCTGGGAGAGAAAAGAATACAAAGCCATTCTAGATGTCTAATTCCCAAGGTCTGACTCTCCTTCCTTCACCTACCTTTACCCATGGTCAGCCCCAGCCCTAGATCTCTACTTTCTTGAATGAATATATGGAATAGTCACTACTGCTCTTCACTAGAATTCTGATGCTCCCCCACTTGGGGCACACAGTAGCACTGTACTCTGGCTTGATACCCTTTCCAGTCTTGAGGCTAATTAGGGTCATGTGACGACCACTGGCAACTGAGCTATGAATAAGCCCTTCTAGAGTCCTTTCCTCTGTGTCTGAGGTGGGAGTGACCATGAGAGGAATCCCCTGAACTGCAAATGGACATTCAGATAATTCTGAAGTATGAATAACAAACAAAAAAAAAAACTTTTCTTTGAAACGATTTAGAGATTATTTTGGCAGGAAAATCAAGATTTTCCTGACTGACCCATGCTGCCAGGTTGAAGAAACAAAATCAACTGACCACATCAAATACACAGAAGTAAGGGGGAAAAGCCATTAAGCCTAGCACTATGAAAGAATTTCTGACAAAAATTTCCTAAGAGCACTCTCTCAACAGAAAGGAGCCTGAAGTCATCGAGGGTGGGATAATCAAACCCACTGCCAAGGAGGGAAGATGTAAGGATTTAAGAAGTGGAGACAGCAAGGAAACAACCTCTACAGTCCCTCTAACCCAGGTGCTAGGCTCAAACCTCAACTAGCGAGGCCAGAGAGAAGATGCAAAACCTAGCAGGATCAGACAAGGACGGCTCCTTTACACAAAGGAACTGAGCCGTTCAAAGCAGGAACGTTTCTAAAAGGAAATCAAGTTTTCTTAATTTATTAATTTAAAAACATTTTAGGACCTGTGAAATGGCCCAGTGGGTTTGACTCCTGGGACCCACATGGAAAGCAGAACACCAATCCCCACAAGTTAGTTGTCTTCTGACCTCCACACATCCACTCCATCAATCAACCAACTTAAAAACTAAGGTAATTTTTAATTTTCTTAAGTGTATGTGCTTTGCAAAGTAAATGCCTGAGGAATAATCCTAAAGTTTCAACAACCACCATTATGACGTTATTATAGCAATGCAGTTTCATAAAACTGTCCCTTGTCTTAGGTATTAACATTTCTTATTAAATAGGTATTATCTTTCAAAAAAGATTCATTTTTTAAAAAGGTCTTATTTTTATTATTTTTTAACAATTGTATGTATTTTAGCAATTGTGTGAGGTTTTTGAGTTCTGCTTTGTTTGGTTTTTTCTTGAGACAGGGTTTCTCTGTGTAGCACTGGCTGTACTGGAACTCAAGACTGTAGACCAGGCTGGCCTCGAACTCAGCTCTGCCTGTCTTTGCTTCCTGAGTGCTGGGATTAAAGGCTTGTGTCACCACTGCCTGGCTTGTGTGTGTTTTTGTTTAACTGGTAACCAAATACTAAAAGTTAAGAAAAAAAAAAAAAGCCTCCTTTCTGATACAGAACTCATTGCTCAGCATGAGTTTTGAAATGCATGGTAAAAGATGTGGTAAAATTTCTTTTTAGAACTTAAAAAATTAAAAAACAGCATAGTCAATAATAATAAACACTGGGCTGGAGAGATGGCTCAGAGGTTAAGAGCATTGCCTGCTCTTCCAAAGGTCCTGAGTTCAATTCCCAGCAACCACATGGTGGCTCACAACCATCTGTATTGAGGCCTGGTGCCCTCTTCTGGACTGAAGAAAGAATACTGTATACATAATAAGTAAATAAATAAATATAAAAAAATAATAATAATAAACACTAATTATTTGAAAATATTAACATTAAAGTGATTTCAGTTAAACTGAAACTGACAGTAGTATTTTATGATTCTTAGAAAATAACATTAAGGTCACTTTTTTTTATGAGTACTGATACTGTTACGGTTGGTTTTATAAATATACTTATTTATGCTAAAGATTAAGGATGAAATATTTACAGGTAAAAACTTTAGTATTTGAGATTGCTTTAAAATAAACCTGGATGAAAGGAATAGTGAGTTTATGAAATAAGATTGGTCAAGATCTAATGACTGCTTAAGCTGATTTAAGAGTATAATCAAATTTCATCATGTTAATTTCTTTAAATAAAAAACTGAATGTATACAGGTGTGTAGGCAGATTTGCGACCTGCCACTAGGCCACATCTCCAGATGTCTGTGTGTCTAAGTATGCATTTGTGCACGAGAGTGAATGCCCCAGGCCAGAACGGCTGGAGGTGCATCCTATGTGGATGCTGAGAGCCAAACTGGAGCAGTATGCACTGAGCTACCTCTCCAGCCCTTCGGAAAACACTCATATAGGCAATCTCAATTCTTAAAGATAATTAAGACTAGAGGGAAAAAAATCACTTAAATTGAACTCGTTTTAAAAAGGGCAAAAATTATGTTGAAAAGGGCTAGCAAGATGGCTCAGTGGGTAAAGGTGCTTCCCACACAAACTTGATGACCTGAGTTCAATCCTCATTTTATTTTGCAAAGAAAAACCATATCCTGAACGTTGTCCTTGATTTCCATACACCCACACTACCAACACAATAACAGTTTAAAATTTAAAGCAAACTGTGGAGAAGGAAGAAAACTGAAGGTGTTATTTCTTTCTCCTGCAGTCCACTGTGCCATTCACAGATCCTTGGCCCTTAAGAAATCAACTCTGGTGTTCTGCTAGGACTGTTGTGAGTCGGGGTTCCCCTGGAAATAAGGCCACTGAGAGTAATGTTGGACCTCTCTACACCATCTGGAGGTTGTCCCCATGTACTCAGGAACAAAAGGGACTGGATGTGAAAGAGTGGAAGTCCCTGACAGCAGCTGGGTATCCAGGAGGCCAGTTTGGACAGGAATGCCAGTTGAGGTGCCAGGGCTTGGGCACAGCCACATGATCAGACTGCTTCAGCAGCGGTAGCCTGAGTTCCAGGTAGGGATGAAGAATGAGTGCCCACTCAGTGCTTCTGTTCACAGATTTCACCTTCTGGGATAGAGCTGTGAGTTACTGTAGAGCAAACCTAGTCTCCAGCATTTCAGACAAGTGTTCTATCACCAAGTTATACCCCCGCCTATCAACCCTGCATTAATTGGCTACTATTCCCAATATTTAATGGAAGCTATGAGAATAATGACCTCTCACATGCTTGAAGAAGGGGTGAATCCCTTCTGCCTCAGCGGAAAGTTATTCCATTTTGTGAATAAATCTCAGGGAGCCCTATTTGGATTTTGGAAACCCCAACTAAGTTCCACCTGTAACTCCTTCACTTTTTCTCTTAGGTTAATTTTGGTTAGTGAGATGGTTGATGGTAAGGTGCCTGCTGCTGAGCCTGAGGGAGCACCCGAGAATGGTCCTTGATCCCACATGGTGACCTCCACACATACTCTAAGGTACACAAGAACTTGTATTCACCTTGCGTGCATGCGTGGGCACATACACCCCCACACAAAAATTAAGTGTATAATTTTGTTTTTTAAATAAGATTTATTATTGTATGTGTGTACAAAATGTGAGTGTGAAGGTCTGTGTTCACCTATCTCTCTGAGGACCCTGGAAGTACACCTCCCTCCCAACAAGCCTTCCAGGAGCTTGGTCTCAAGGCAATTCAAGGAGAAGGTCAGTACCCGTGTTACAGTGTGGGTCCTATGTTGGGCAGGATGGGGTAGGAGGGAATCCTGTCTCTTCTACTCCTGTGCTATTCCTGAATGGACATTAAGTGGGGGAATAACCCATACAGAGACCCTGAGCTACAAAGGGAATTTCAGGTTTCTAGTTTAGGGTTTGAGTTGAAGACAGGCTCTTGGGTAGCCCAGGCTGGCCTAGAATCTTATACAGTATAAACAAGGATGGAAAAAAAAAAAAAACAATTTTTTCCACCAGGTAAAAAATGAAGGTAAGCCTAGATACTCTCCAGATGCCCATGCTGGCTCCCAAGGGCCGTGGACATCAAATTTAAACTCAACAATGACTCTGGTTCTTAAGTATCAAGCAGAGAACACAAGCTGTTTAAATCCTGGTGCCTAGTTGGCAGTTTGGGATTGCCACTTAACTGGCCAATAAAGCCTTGATGTTCTCCTAGGGTAAGAAGTACCACCCTCTAAGGAAGACAAAACAAGCAGCCTGTTGGTGCTGTGGCGGGGAGAGGTTCCTTCTGAAACTCTGCACAATACAGCACAGGAGCAAATTAAGCTTGTTGAATATTTCGTGATAGACTTTAAAATTCAAGTTGTTCTTTTTTGAGGAATCCACTAAATTTTTCTCAAGGTAGCATCTATGACTTTCCTCTTCTTTAAAAAAAATATTAATTTAGTGACGAGAATTTGGTTGCTCATAGGCCATGATATGTGTGAGTGAGCTCTCTCCTTCCACCACGAGGGTCTCGGGGACCAAACCCAGGTGGTGAGACTTAGTGGCAGGAGCCTCTGCCCACTGGTGGTCATCATGTCAGATGCTGCCATTTCTATTCCTTGGAGACAGGATAATACTGTTGAGTCCTGGCTGGTCTACAATCCACAGCAACCCTCCTGTCCCAGCCTCTAAAATGCTGAGATTAGAGACATGAGCCACCATATTCAGGGCATTTATGGTTTTCTGATCTAACTCTTAAGCCTATTCATCTTAAACTCTGTAAATTCAAATAAGTATGCAAGCAATGTAATTTTACCTTGAAAGTAAATTATAAGACTTTTTTGTTTGTTTTTGATTTGTTTGGTTTTTTGAGACAGGGTCTGTTTGTAACCCAGGTTGTCCTGGAACCCTCTCAAACCCACAGTAATCCTTCTGGCTCAGCATTCCAAATGAGAATATAGACATATGGCACCATGTCCAGCTAAGACCAAATTCTAAGAGAGATCCAATTCATTAGTGAATATTTTCACACAACAATAAACTATGCTAATGTGAAAATACCCTGCATCTTAGAAGCTTTCATAATACAGACCTCTCATCTCATTAATTACATGAGGTGATGGCACTCATATTTTAAAGAAGACAAACAAAACTAGGTGTATAGTATCATACACCTATAATCCCAACAAGGTCAGCCTCCTCTACACAGTGAGCTCTGAGCCCCACCCAGGCTAAATAAGACTATATGAGAACATGCCTCTCTCACAAGATAAACAAATAATACATTTACCCAAGATCACTGAGATACTCAACTCAAGAGCCTTGAATAACAGCCCAATCTTCCAATAGTGTTTGCATATTACTCTACAGTCTTAAAGATACACACTCCCTCAATAGCACTCACTGACAAAACAGCTCCAGCGACAACATGACAAACAGAAGAGAGTGATCTGGTACACACACAGGTCACTTAAACACACTATAACAGATATGGACCTGAAGACATTAGCATATGAAACTAGCCAGTGAAAAGATCAATGCTACATGATTCATCTGGATAGACACACAGGACACTGAGAATTACATAAAGCAGGACAATGGGTACCAGGTATGGAGACAGGGAGCAATGAGGAATAACTTTTAATGAGTCTAGAGTTTTGCAAGTTGAAAAGTTCTAGAGATGAAAAGGGCTGACAACACATTGTACAACAATGTGAATGTACTCAATGCCAGTGAGCAAGTCACTTACGTGGGAAATTTTTAGTATGTATTTATTGTGTATATGCACACAAACACACAGGCATGTGCTATGGTGCACATTTTGAGGTCCAAGAACAACTTTTAGGATTGGGTCTCTCCTTCAGCAACATTGATCTCAGGTTCTGGGCTTGGTAGCAAATGTCTTTACCTTCTAAGCCATTTCACCAGGCCCTTACTGGGAAAACTTTTTAAAATAAAGTAATCCTTAAAGAACTAAATGGTAAAGGAGCAAAAAATTACTATCTCCCGGCAGTAGTTGTATACATCTTTAATCCTAGCACTTTTAAGACAGAAGCAAGTGGATCTCTATGAATTCAAGCCTAGCATAGTCTATAGAGCTAGTTCTAAGACAGACAAGGTTACACACACACACACACACACACACAAACCCTGTCTCAAAAAAATAAAAAAAGAAAGACAAAAAGAGAAGAAAAAAGGAAGGAAGGAAGGAAGGAAGGAAGAAAAGAAAGAAGAAAAGAAAGAAGGAAAGAAGGAAAAAGACAAAATGCTATCAAGAAAAACCCTAACTGCATTAGGGGAGACCAACAAGGACCCAGGTATAAAAATAGATTATAACTAGGAGCAAGTTATAAGTCAATGTAAAAAAAAAATTAACTAAAGTTAAGAATATGTCTTTCAGACAGAAACTTAACAGAGAAATAAGGGAACTAACAGATGTTAAGACTCATATGGACTTAACAGACATCTACAGAACATTCCATCCAAACATAAAAGGATATACCTTCTTCTCAGCACTTCATGGAACCTGCTCAAAAATTGACCACATACTAGGTAACAAAGCAAACATCGACAGATACAAAAAAAAAATGGAATAACCCCCTGTATCTTATTGGATCACCATGGCTTAAAATTAGAATTCAACAGCAACACTAATTCCAGAAAGCCCACAAACGCATGAAA